GATAGATAGATAGATAGATAGATAGATAGATAGATAGATAGATAGATAGATAGATAGATAGATAGATAGATAGATAGATAGATAGATAGATAGTATTGCTTCTTCATCTTCTATCATCCTTACTTAACAGCCATGAATCTGTATTGTGGATATCAAGATAGCTTAGCAGCCCTTTGATTAAATGAATAGACCAAGTTTAGAGGACATCTGTTAGCAGATCTGGGAAAAGATTACTCAGCCTCATCTCATACAGACAGAGTAGCAAATGATGTAATTAAGGCCACAAAAATACTGCCTCTTGGCCTTGGCCTCTCGCCTCATTCAATCTTTTGTAGTGTAATATAATAATACGATTCCACTTTACAGAATGCACAAAAAATAAATAAAATATTGAAATTTCTGTTGCTTAATACACTTGAGAAATCGTAGAGCTGTCGACTGCAATTTTAAACAGAAAATTAATACGCTTAGATTAAAATCTTTGTGAGATGTAGAAGTAGAAGATAAAGAAATTAACATGACTAGCAGGCCAGACTATGGGCCAAACTAGGGCACTGCATTCATAAAGATGATTTATATACCAGAAACACAAAACTGATGTAATGTTCTTACTTTACATTCTAATTGATTTTTTCCAGACCTTGTTTTCTATGGCCCTCAGTTTGTTGTTTCTGAAGCTGAGATGAGCTTCACAAGCTTTGAGGACTAACAGATACACAAGTCATTAAAATACATCACTTTCACTGGTCTTTCTGTTCAGCTTCCCATGATGCAACTACTATAGGGTAAATCATGTAATGCCAACAGCTTTATTCTGGTGTACAACTCTAATTCTGTCATGTCATCTCAAGCAACTAAACCTCAGACCTTCTGTACCTAAAGGCAGCTTTCAAATGAGTCTAATTTCCCTCATCTGCTTCTTTCCCACGCTCTAAAGCCTCTTGGCCTATCATGTCTTAAGTCTGTGTTTACAGAAATATTTCCGAGCTCAGTGCATGGACCAGAAAAACTCTGGTTACAGGATGTAACATTTATTTGGAGATTACTCAGTATACTAGAAGTTCTATCACTGGAATATATGCTACATTATCCAAGTGCGTCAAAAATATTACAGAAAATATGACAACTATTACTATTCCTAATAAAGAAGGAAATGCATGAAGTGTGTTACTAAGATTAAGCCCCAGTTTTGCCCAGCCACCAACCCTTGCAATGAAGAAATACCTAACACAGTATGACACATACTGCGTGTGTGTGACTGTCTCAATCTGCCCTTTTCCAAAGAACTTCAATCATTTAGTTTCTCTGAGCAGTATGCTTCCAATCCCAGCAAACAGCTGGCCTGGCATTTAGAACACATGGGGAGTATGCTTCCAATCCCAGCAAACAGCTGGCCTGGCATTTAGAACACATGGGGATTAGTGGGTTGATTTATTTAGAGGCTCAATCCAGAGTCTGACCATTGCACCACTTATGATGCCAAGATCACCTCTCTGCTGGCTTGCTGATTATATTTTCATTTTTCTTCTATTGATTTCATCCATATTCTGCATGTATGAAGAAGCCATATTTGAATGAATCTCACAATTTGCTTATGTTTACGATCAATCTAAATCATGTCTGCATCTTAACAATATACTTTCCTATCTATAGATGCATTTAGAAAATCAAAGTCTCCATTTAGGGGTTGTAAGAAGCATTTTACAGTTTATCATATATTTTTCTTTAATTGATTCTTCGGATTTTTATTTCTGCTGTGATTGTTAACTACTGCTGGATTAAACTAATCTGTAGGCGCCTGATATTTTACATCTGGCTTAGTCTCCTGAGTCAGTATAAGCTCAGTTGGCAATCATGTTTTTAGTTTGCCACACAGACAGGTTGGCAGAAGCCGTGTGGGCGTGTGTAGAAGGTGCAGGTGTGTCAATGTGCTTTGATAGCGTCCTTTAAAAAAACAAAAGAATCTGTGAACCAAAGTGGATTTCCCACTTGCCATCGTCTCTCATTGGTTGTCACAAGGGCCTGATTTGCATATGGTGGGAGTGTCCTGAGCCAGCAGTGGGATGAATGACTTGTTCAAGTCAGATAGAAATAAGGCATAGCACTTAGCAGAGGTCTGCACAGCTCAACGCTCAAAATGCCTGGCTTACTTAAGCTGCTCCTCTTCCTGCTATGAGTGGAAAGTGCTACAAACGGACATAAACATGTTCAACAGCAGACATCCTAGACTCAGCAAAAGAGGAAGAATATGGGTAAGTTTCACAACAATTTGCTTCACAAACAGAATTTAATGTTACGCAGCTACACATATGTTAGATGGCTTTGTGAGCACCATTTCATATCATTAAGGCAGATATAGGATTAGGCCCTTATACATCATACTGTTTTTCATCTTTCTCTTAAACTTGTGCAGATAAACCTTGATTTCATAACAGTCTAATTTCAGGGCCTGATTTAAATACTTCATAAACTGAACATATGGATGTTATTTTGTTATTTAGGTATCAGAACAGCTCTGTAACTGATAGGAAAACAAAATATTTATTTTTAATGAGAATAAGAATAATATATCCCAAATACCTATTTCTTTACTAACTTTAATTAAACCACAACATCTTCATCTTTTAACATTTTTTCTTGTGTTTACAGGGATTGTGCATCCTTTTGCTTTACACCAACCCCCTTTCCTGTTTGGCAAATTTCAGTCAAGCAAAAGAGCTCATCTATAAGATAAAGGAGGGATTACCAAGGGGGACTTTTATAGGAGCAATTGGAGTAGATTTAAATTTGGATTTCTCTGTTGACCCCCCCTTTATATTCAGTCTCGCTCAAAAGAAGGTCAGTGAACAGTATGTGAACCTAAATAATACCACCGGGGAGCTTTACACATCTGCTACAGAGATTGACAGGGAGACTCTCTGTGCTGATAACTTAGAGGGGCAGGGATGTGTCCTCTCACTGGATGTGTTTGTGCTGCCTCAACAATACTTTCAGCTTGTCAAAGTAAAGATTCTCATTGAGGATGTTAATGACAACAGGCCAAAGTTCCCCACAGATGAGATCGCTATGTCTGTCCCTGAAAACGCACCAATCAATGCTCGCTATGCAGTAGAGCAATCGGCAGTTGACCCAGACCTGGGTCCTCATGGAGTGCAAACCTACTGGCTGGTTAATGACTTTGGAATGTTCACATTGGATGTTGAGGAGAATGAAGGAGGTGAGCTGACGCCTTTCCTCATTGTGACAGAAGCTTTGGACCGAGAGACTCAGGCGGAATACATTACCGATATAATTGCAGAGGATGGGGGGACCCCTCCTCTACTTGGTGCTGCGACTTTGAAAATTGTCATCACGGATGTGAATGATAACTGTCCCCAATTCAAAGAGTCACAAATTAATGTCACTCTGCATGGGAATACCACCAAAGGGGTACATTTGGCACGTCTGCATGCTTTTGACCCTGACCTTGGTGCTAATGCTCAGATCAGCTATGCTTACAGTGAACGCGTGCCAAGGGACACCAGGAGCTTGTTCCATTTGGACAAAATTACAGGAGTGATCAAGCTCGCAGGGAAAATAGACACTGGCACAGCCACATTTTACAAACTCACTGTTCTGGCTACTGGACCTGGTTGTATTCCTGCTGTAGCCACTGTTATTGTCCATATCATCAAAGTTGTCACTGGACCCCCTACTCTCATACCCCGGTACATTGCGCCAGAAAAAGATGGGGTGGTAACAATAAAGGAATCTGAACCAGCTTTTTCTCCAATTGCTTTTTTTACTGTTAAAAACATTGATAAGAACCAAAGGGTGGACTGTTATTTGGAAGGACCTGGTCCCTTCAGGTTGAGCCCCTATCAGCTGTTCAAGAATGAATACCTGTTGGAGACAACAGAGCCCTTGGACTTTGAGAGGACACAGGAGTATGATCTTATTTTGGTTGCTAATAGCACCCGTGGGATCGTTATCAAGACCTTCCTTAAGGTGCAAGTTTTGGACGAGAATGACAATGCCCCTGTGTTTCAGCAGTCTTTGGTGGAGATATCAGTTGAAGAAAACAATCCGCCAAACACTTTTCTCACTCAGCTCCAAGCGTCAGACCAGGACAGTGAAAGCAGAGGGGAAGTTCTTTACCTCCTCGGAGGCGACGCCCCTGGTATTTTTGTTGTGGATCGAGTTACAGGTATCCTGACTGTGGCCACATCTCTGGACCGTGAGGAGAAAGAGACATACCGGTTCATCGTGAGAGCGGTGGACCAGGGGACACCCAGAAGGGAGTCAATTGCAACAGTGGTGGTGACCGTGCAAGATCGCAATGACAACAGTCCACGATTCATCAACAAGGATTTCACTTTCTTTGTGCCAGAGAACTTCCCAGGTTATGGTGAGATCGGTGTCCTCTCTGTGACTGATGCTGATGCTGGAGAAAATGGCTGGGTGGCCCTCTCCATCCTGAATGGCAGTGACATTTTTATGATAGACACAGGCCGAGGGGCACTGAGGGCAAAGACATCACTGGACCGGGAGCAGCAGGGGACCTACCAGCTATGGATCGAGGCTGTTGATGGTGGGGAGCCTGCTCTCTCCTCTGTCACAATGGTTACCGTGCTGCTGCTGGATGTAAATGACAACCCACCAATCGTCCTCTTTCCTCAGTCGAATCAGTCTTACATGCTAGTGCTACCCAACACTGTACCAGGAACATCAATCACAGAGGTGTACGCTGTGGATAAAGATACAGGGATGAATGCTGTGATCGCCTACAGTATCATTAAAAGGAAAGGCGGTGAGCCCGGGTCTTTTGCCATTGACCCAGAAACAGGAAATATCACATTAAAGAGGGAGCTCAGCAATCGTGGCCTATACAGCCTTCTGGTGAAGGTCAGTGATCATGGTCAACCTGAACCTCTGTACTCAACAGTTATGGTTAACTTCTTTGTCAATGAAACAGTGAGTAATGAAAGTTACATTCAAAGTCTGCTGACCAGAGAGGCTGACATAGAGGTAGAGGAGAGGCCCTGGTACATTGGCCAGATGGCAGAGGGGCCTGAGAGGTATGAGCCGTTCCCGTGTCAGCCTGTCCTCATTGCTCTTTCAGTGACGTGTCTGGGGCTGTTCTTCTTGGTTGTCACGCTGACGTCTTACATATGCTGTAGGAGGTTTAAAAAGAACAGGATGAAAAGATCAGAAGTGGAAATACCTTTAAAAATTCAAAATGACTCGATGCAGGTTGTGAACAGAAAGCTCAGACAGATCTCTAACATCTGATGTTCAGTTGTTCACTCGTTCAAACAAAAAAAACACCACCACTGTTTACATAAATGTTTACAAAACTCACTGTAAGAACTTTCTCTTACATGAAGTTCCTCTTTTGGGCTTTGTGATGACTGTTTTTTGTCATATGCCACCACTTTCTGTCAACTGTTGGCAGGCAGCAACGGTGTCATTACAAAAACATCACAGTAACTCAGTGAATATTACCAAGGTCCCGTGTAAATACTGTATAAAAAGATTTACAACTTTATATACAAGTTTTGCATTTGGTTGGTAAGGACAAGAGACACTGCTTTAGAGAAAAAAATGCATCTCTTTAGACCATCTGTCACTTGTATTGGTTATACAAATATAATTGAAAAATAAATGTATTTCCAAGTTAAATGTTTATCTATATTCATGAGGTAACCGTGAGGTCTGTAATACAGAAAAGGGCAATCAAAGTGAATTGGAAAAGCTAACACAGAATACGTGAATGCCATAAAACGTCATTCTATACACGACAACCGCAATGACAACAGACCAAACTAGACTAACAAACAAACTAGACGTTTCTTCACACGTTTTCACTTGTGTCTTACTTTCTACTTTTGCTCAGATGTTGTGCAATAATATAGTACATATAAGTGATAATTGAGTGATATAATGTTAGGTTAAAAGTTCCGGAAAAAAAAGCTGTAGGTGCACCTTGAGTTTTTTTGTTTTGTTTTGTTTGTTTGTTTGTTTGTTTTTGTCCCCTTTTCTTTTCTTTTTATCAATAAAAATTCCGTACAGCTGTTGTGCCAAATCAGCACAACAACAAAATAATCACATTTTCATCACTTTGCTACTGGAACTGTGTCCAAACTTGTCAAAAAAGCTACTTTTAAGTTAAATACATCACTTTCCTTTATAGAGTCATGCAATTCTCAATGTGTCTGTGAAAATATGCAAGTGTTTGTGATAGACTGTTTGTAACTATTAAAGATACTTTATTTTTATAATACACTGGATTTTATTCTGTATTGATTTCATTATGTCTTGCTATCACACATATATCCTACATGCACTCAGATGTGTGTGTCTAAACTTTAAAGTTTTAAAGTACCTGCCACTCAGATTGACTGGTATAAATGTCATTTATATGCTTAAAAGAAAACAAGCCTGTAGTTTAGATTAAAATAAACTGAAAAACACAACGAATGTAAATATACTTTAAAGTAAGGAAGGAAATTGATAGATACTGATTGGCACCTAATAAAAAATACATTTAGACTTCATCTTCTTCATATATCAAATTTGGTATACAAATTAAGTGCCTGTTGGATCTTACGAAGTGTGAGTGTCCCTGAAGGAGTTAAAGATCAAAAGTACATGATTCTGTATTGTTGTTGCCATCACCTGTGAAGAACAGACCTGGTGAGGTAATACCAAGAGTCCCACTAAGAATAAAAACATAGTGCAGCTGCTCGTGTCTGGCGTGTTTGAGGATCAAATTCACATTTCTCACCTCTCTTGAGTGGTATTCGCAATCACTGTGCTTTTCATTTCGCAACAACTTTGGGATATATCTGGAAAGTGTGAAAGTGCTTCTGACACATTCTCCCCCAACAGATCAACTCAGAAAGCCTTTTGGTTTTAAAGCTGCTTTTTCTCTGCCCTGTGCTTCTTTGTTGTATTTGTATGTTTGCTATGAAAGTTATGTGGGCAAAGAGGCTTCAGGACTCTTTGTACCTGGGCTAACTACTGTATGCACCCTCCCAAGTGATGCACTCTGTTGTGTTATATGCCTCTAAAACCAGTTCAGGTTTGGCTTTCACAAGACAGCAAGAATGCAAACAAACCTGTATTGAGAGTACATTCTCCAGCGCAGTTTCTCAAGTAAATACCAGCCTTATATTTTTAACAGTAGCACGTCATTAAAGCACAGAGCACATCAGGAACTGGAAATAGCTCCGTGTAATCCTTAGTAATCACCTTGGGCATATGTATGCTGGATGCATACTATAATGTATTTCAGACAAGTAATAATATGGGTGACATAAAGGAAATCAACATCATTAGTCTCATGTACTATCAGAGCTGTAACTGATTGGCCTGACTTTAACATTCATTAAGAAAAAGAGTAATCCAGCCACACATTCAATATACTTCCTATGGTCTTAACCTCCTAGGACCTGGCGTCCACATATGTGGACATCACATTTTGGGTTATTTAGACCAAAATACTCAATTTTGCTCTACAAGGGCCTGATATCCACTTACGAGGACATTATACTGCTACTGTTGTATCGAAATTTTAAACGAATATCCTCATATGTGGCTCTCGTTTTTCTTAGAAACAAAAATTAGGTAAAAAAAAAAAATCTGGTAATAATTCTTTGTTTTTACATTAATCAGGACCCAATCAGCCCAAATATCAAAGAGAAATTAAAAATGCATGCCGTGGAAGAGTTCGGGTCTTAGGAGGTTAAATATTTGTATTAACTTAAAATATGAATTTCTTTGTGTTACTGATTAATTCATTTTTTGCTTTTATCAAGATATTTTTAGATGTATGTGACTACAGGAACTGGAAGGCTGTGTTATAAAAAGCCTTCAATGCTAGAACACCATTGCAAATACAGGTGCTATGTTAGTCTCTCCTCATGTGTCAGCCATAGGCGATATTCAGTCTTTGCCTTAATAATGTTGCTGATGTCATCCTACAGTAACTTAGTAACTTCAAGAAGCTTAGCCCAGACTCAGTTTGTCTGAAGCCAAGTGACACATAATATAACAAATTTTGCAGATTTCTTTTCTTCTCTCTTTTCTTTTCTTTTTTTCTTGCTCTGAGCAAACAACTACAGATTGTGATTAATTGCAGTAATAACAACTGAGGTCTCACTTTAGCGTGTCTCATTTCTCTTTCACCCGTTCTGACTCTTTCAATAAGTCGTTTCATTCAGCATGTTGAGACAGGAAACAGTCATACAAGACCTTTATGTCTGTGCTGGCCTAAACCCAGATGTTATGATGATAGAGTATGGTTTAGTGTGCAATAACAAACACTGGTTTCTATTAATAAATGGTAAGATCGGATTGGATTTATTTCATTTTAAGATGTTTCAATAGGTGAAAAGAATACATTTGGCTTCAATATTAACTCTTCTCTTGTATGTCTCTGTTGTGGCCTACAAGCTGAAAAAAAGAACCATGCTATTTCTCACATGTTCACTTTTAGTACATACAAGTAATGTTTCCTACTATAATGGAAGTTTTGATAACTTGCTGGTCTGGAGGATTTGTGTTACCACAATGCCACAATCTACCAGAAGTGCACATCATCCAAGAGCTACATCTAAGACTCTTAAAGTTCATGACAGTACAGACTGTGGCAACATGGCTTTTGCAAAGTTGCATCTGAAGAAACAATAAGACTTCTGAACAGACAAGACCAAAGTGGAGACATCTGGTCATAGTGCACAGCGCCACATTTGGAAACACCAAACACAGCATATCCACAAAAAGCTCTCATCGTAACCGTAAAACACAATGGTGGGAGGGGTGATGATTTAGGTTTGTTTTGCACCCACAGGACCTGGGCACCTTGAAGCCATTGAGTCAATCAAACACTCCTATGTGTACCAAAGTATTGTAGTCAAATATGAGGCCATCTTGGACAAAAATTGATCATGCAACTGGACAATGATGCCAAGCACAGCAGAAAAATCTACCTGACTGAAATTCTGTGAAGGGGCCTGCATAAAGAATTGCTCACAATCTGAATGAACTAAAGCTATGCTGCAAAGAAAAGTGGCTCAATATTCCTTCACAATGATGTGACAGACTGATAAATACAAGATTTCTTTGGGGTATCCAAACCTGCTGCATGAATCTGCATCCCTAGCTATTTGTTCTGCAGTCAAAAAATCAAGATATTTCAGCTGTACTGTATCCTTCAGTCCCACCCAGTCTTCCAAAGTACCTTTAACCTTTGCTTTTTGTTTTTTCTAATCTTCAGGAGACTGACTTTGATATATGTGTCTTGTTACATAAATCCTGTTCTGGGTTTTACATCTCTAGAAACAGATGGAAAGGGGGCCAAAAAGACAGAGGCACCCCACAGCTTTTCTACATGACTGATCACTTCAAGTGGTGATCCTGCTGATAGCCAGTTTGATATCCTCAGACCAGGGCAGAATAAACGTGATTTAAATCGTGTTCTTGAACTTGTGACAGACACCCTTAGTTTTCTGTGTTTTATATTATATGCGGCTACAACTTTCGATGCATTTATTGATGTGGTTGTTCATTTGTTTCAGAGAGGTCTTTCTTCATAATCTCATGCAGATACACTGAGAAATTACAGATACGGTTCAGCTATATTCCCTTCCATCTTTCTCCCTCTCCCTCTCTCTCTGTTTCTCTTACCCTCTCTCTCTCTCCGCTACACCCCACCCCCCCTTCCAGGAAAGTCTATCTGAAATTACATTAAATTCTTAATGGTGTAGACAGCAAGTAATTACCATCAGTCACAGCCTGATCTCATTTCCAGATTGGCTTTATTGTAACGTCCCTCCCTTGAAATCAAACAAATAAAGACACAATGAGAGGCCCAGGTAGAGTTACAGAGCTCTGCTGAATAAGAGAGGCTATGTTTCCCAAGTTATGACATCAAATACGACCGCCCCTACCACCACCACCGACGCCACCCCATGCACACACACACACATGCATACGCACACACAAATGGACTTTGTTCAATCTTCAATAATGCATCTCCATATTCCCCCACTGAAAATCACTGCCTTTGATCTGAAACATCTTTTATTTGCTCTGATGCAACAAAATATAATCCAATCGCACTCTTTTGATCCTGCTGTGGATTACGTTACTAATTTTCTTTAGTCCTCCATCCCTATTTTTCTCTCAGTTTCATCCTGTTTCATCCCAGCAAAACACAGAGGGGCTTCTAGGGAATTAACTGCGTCAATTTATTTCAGAATAACTTCTTTTTTTTTTCTCACGACTTCTTACAATTTAATATTGTCCTGTTCTGCCACTGTATGCAATATTAGAAACTTGTACTTTCTATTCTGATGTTTGTTTTATTTCAATGGCTAAGAGCAAAAATTATACTCTAGCTTAATGTTTTGGGCGTGTATTCAGATGATTCTAGTCTATTTTGACCATGGAACTAAGCATGACTCACTCATTTACAATCCTTTAAAAGGATTTTTGCTTCTCCTTGTTTGAACCGTGCTGAAGGGTTATCTTTGACAGACACGTAATACTACTCTGCGCTTGGGGTTGAATATGATCTGTAATTGAAGTGTATTGATGCAACTATATAGTCAAAGGTAAGAATGGCATTTTAGTGACATTTGAATAGTTCAGAACAATAGAAGAATTATATCAGGACAGACCTGCTTTGGCTAATTTCTTCAGCACGTTGTGTTGAGGTGAAAATGAGTATGCACCACAATATTTGTTACCAGGCGAAAGAGCCTGAACTAGAACATAAGATTTACAGCACAGTGTTACATTGCACCTGTGCTGCTGGTGCTGTGGGGATCTCAGCCACAGGTGAGCTTTGACAAATGTATTTTTACATGCACACAGCTGAATCTTTAGGAGGGTGTGCATGTTTGTTTTTGCCATTACTACTCGGAATAATTATGTAATAATAATTTTGCACAGGTGGCACATATACTAGGGTCATTTTTGCAAAATGGATTACTATTTGAATTTCTTTTCTGTTTTTACTAATATATTCATCCAGAGGTTCTTTATAAATTGCAGTCATTTGTTAGTGATGACTCCCCTGACTGTTTTTTGTTGTTGTTGTTGTTGTTTGGGGGATAAAAATTTCAACATCAGTCTTACACTTGCATTTGGTTATTTATATGTTATTTTAATCAAATGACTCGCCAGTCCTAACAAATATTACATAAAGTTAACTGAGGAATGTGTTCCTCCTTTGCACAATGCAGTAAGTCAGGCCAGATAGCTTTCATGCATGTCCGCATCCTCACCACGCACAAATCCCCCATTAATACGTACACTATAGATACAAAACCAACAGCCTTAAGTCTTTTCCTGTCTTTAAACAATTCTCAGCCCCATTAAACGTCATCCTCTGTTGTTAGAGTGTAAACAAGAAATGCAAAAGGCAGTCATTCCTTGTATTGATAGAGACTTACTTTGAGGCCTTTGTGCAAAAAGCTACAGCAATGTATTGGCGACAAGATTAAAAACTAAAGAGTGCCATCTTGCTAGACTACAAATTTAACCCAGAGGCATATAGACAACATTTTCAGGGCCTAAACAACCCTTAAAGCTGGGCCTACCTTGATTTCATAAGAGAGAATAGTATTCTTTTTGATCGGTGGCTTGTGGTGTTGCTATCAATCTTCCCCTCCGATTCCCATTTGTCCTGAGGAGCCACTCACAATCACACTGCTGTAAAAGCGTTTGGTGAGTGGTGAGCTTCAGTGGTGTACTTTGAGTTCTGATTGTGAGTTTAGTGGTGTTTTGATCTACAAGTGAGTAGTGTCTTGCTTTGGTTTGTTTAGCCATATCTTTTCTGTATTGTCTGATCATGTGCTTGTAGCTGTCTCTGAGTTACCTCATCTTACAAATAAAACAAAAAAACAAATGTTGTTTTTTTTAATCTGCTCTGTTTAGCTTTTTCTTTCACCCACATTTAACATTTGCTACTCCCCTCACCCATTAGCCATTTTTCTGGAATGTAACAGGAAGTCAACAAGCTCCAAGCTGTAATGGGGCTTACTGTAAAGTGAATCAAGCAGCCATTCCTTGGAGCAATCATTTCCACTCGTACCAACTGTTAAACTGGTTTTCTTCCAAACGATGCACTTGATGCTTGCTGGTTTATGCTTCTGTTTAACTGGAGCAGCAAACAGATTTCTAAGGAGAGCTAACTAACAAGTCGAACATTTTTAATGAATCAGAATTCTCTGATTAGCTGACTACAAGATCGCTGGCTCATCGGTTCCTGTTTTAAAAGAGTGCTTGATTTCACAGACCACTGACTCCCCATCCACTTTCTCTTCCTTCTCTCAGCTGACTCTAATTCTCCCGTGTCTCCTTCCAAACTGATAGGGAACACAGCTACATAAATCCTTTTAAAAGATGACACAGCTGGCAATGGGGAACTTAATTAATATTTTCTTTTGCGCACTGGTGAAAAGCCATTTCAAAGGTCTCAAAGCCACTTAATTTAGAGCTGATATACTTTTGACAACTGTT